ATGCATCGGTAAAATTGCACGAGTCGGTGTTACTAACAAAAATTTGTAACCGTGGGAGAGCATGAGTCATGAAAAAGGAGTGAAAAATATTGTGAAGTAGGCCAAAGTTAAAGATTAATGTTAACCACATCTGATATAGCCTGAGGATTTAGTCCCAATGCTCCCAATAACAAAGAGAAGCTTGGTGCTTTATCTTTCAGCTTTCGAGATTCATGCTTTATATAACTAATATCCGGTGTGCGAAATATTTTGTATTTTCTGATCTGAGCTACCTTCGCATTTTGGTAATCTTCCAAAGCGGGTGAGATCGGAAAATACCGTGATTTTCTATTTGCCAATTTTTAATTTATGATGTAGCAAGACTGGCTCTTTATTCCAACGGGTTATTTTTTTTTATGATGGTCGTTCTTTGTTGGTGTGAAACTTTCATGTCATGCAAAATGCTCCTCGAATTTCTATTCACTTCTCTGCATATCGTGAATTCAATAAATTCGGTTTAGAACTTTATTTTTTGAAAATGTCTTCCTAACAGGTTACCCAGTACTAACACAGAGCTTAACAGGGCATTACGATGATCACTGTAGTTAGATCACGTAGAGAATATGTAGTTATCTATTCCAAAGTTTAATTTCAGCATGAATTTCGGGGTTCCTTAAAAAGTGCTGTCAGTATTGTCATTTACTACTGGTAATCGCTTATCAGACAGCCCAATTTAAACTTCCAAGTTGTGTCCAGGGAAAAGTTTATTCGAGAAACTAGATAAACATATTATCGAAGGTTGCGAAACTAACAAACATGAGTGAAATACATTTATAGCCTGTAATGCAAAAAGTAATTAAGTCATGATACTGTTTTTAACTCCTCTTTTACCACATTTGCGAAGGTTCTTGTTTGATACGCTCTTTACACTCCTATCAAACTGCATCTGACCAGTGAGTTGTTTCGTAACAGTTCTCAGTGAACGCTGATAAGTTTGGCTCTTTACCTGCAACTCTTATTCTAAAGTTATTCACAGTGATTAAAATTCCAAGTAGTATATTCCCAACATAGCGATGGAAATGTATGGCAAAAACCATACAGTCTTGAAAAATGGTTAATCTACATTTTTTTGTAACTAACCTTGTTTTTCTTCTGCACTCTCTTGGTACGTAACGGACGCCTTTTGAAGATGGATCCATCAAGCTGTAGTGCAAGTGGCACGGCTGCACTATCTTTGAATGCCACAAAAGCAAAACCTTTACTATTACCAGTCCTCGAATCTCGAACTATTCTCACGAAAGAAACATTTCCAGACTGAAATCCGTCTAAATAGAGAATTTAACGATAAAAATGCAAATCAATCGGGACAGTAACAAAAGAATATGACCACTAGAAATCAAACCTTCCACCGTAAACGAATTTTTTTTGAAAACCATAAGTACCGTAAAAAAAGAGAACCATTTCAAAATGTGCGATAAGCTCGTTTTCGGATACATCATAAGGTAGATTACCGACAAAAACTGTTGTTCGGCAATTGTACTTTCTTTTTGCGCAACAACTATCCACTCTTAACAAATTTCCGTCATACTTCTCGCCATTCCTGGTGAAATAACCATCAGTAATTCTCTGAGAATCTGCCATCCAAACGGCTAGTCCAACAAAAGATTTTCATCCATTATTCAAAATAAAAGTCACTTACAACGCTAGGGCCGCTTCTTTCGACTTCGCATTTTTAAATTTGACATAAAAAGTCAGCGATCGCACACCACTTGGAATATCGCGCTTCAAACACAGTAATCTTGAAGCATATATACACGGTCGTGAAAATATGATTATTAACAAAAACGAAGGCATTTAGACTTCCTAGAAAATTCCTCTCCTAGATTCGAAAAACTGAAACCAAGTACAACCTTTTTTGTAATTTTCTCATTGGCAGCAATAAAACAGTGCAGCCGCACACTCTCAACAGCACCGAACTGCGAGAATAGTTTTTTGATTCCTTTCCTAGAGCTTGACAATGGTGCATTTCCAACAAATACTGTCCGAGTTTTTTCTTCCGATGTTGCTTCTCTTTTTTTCATTTCCGTCTCACTTAAAAATGTGGATAAAATTTTGTTCCGCGCTTTTATCGTTGTAAATGTGTCGGAACATAGACTACTATACCGACTTCTGCAAAAATCGTTTCTAAAAAATCTGAAGAAAAATCAAAATTAAGATAATAAACCTTCACCGAAAATTTGGCTCCTGAAGTAGACTTTCCGACGTCAAGTAATCAGTTCCACTGGGTCCTGCTGACTTTGGCTGCAACTTCTTTTCAGCAACAGGCAATTCAAAACGCTGTAATTAATTGGGGGGACCGTTGAAGGAAATAAAATAAGACTCAGAGTTTCATGGCTTGCAAAACCTTCCTACCGTACTATCTATCTGCCGGTAGTAATATTTGAGATTCTGAAACAGAAAAAGCGGAAGGAATAAACCTACACGGGTTTTAGTAACACACTTCTTGGAGAATACCACCGACTCATCATTTCTTGATTCGGTTTCCTTCTTTCGCTTCCGCTCTTTACCGCCAACCGTAGCATCACTTCCCTCCTTTGCAAGAAAAGCCGATATTGCTCCTGGGAAATAGCTTGTTATCGAGTCCATCCTCAAAACAAATCACATAAGCTTAGGGAAGCACTGTGATTTACACTTGGAAGTTCATTATGCTATACTACCTGGCTTCCCTTCTAGTCTACTAAAATCTTTATTCACAGCAATTAAGAAGCAAGTTACTCACTCCGAACCAGTGGTTCGCAAACTTCTCTTCACCAAGGACCACTTCGGCTTTTTTATATGGAGCAGGGGCCACAAGGTTCAAAAATAATGAACTCTGTTGATTTGAAAATAAATTTCAATTGGAATTTTTTACGTACAAACTAAGCTTGAAGTAACATCGCAATATAAAGAAGAAACGTTTCCAGTGGAAAATTCAATCTGATTTCCTTTAATGTTATATTTGAGTTCACATCTTTACAGGATGGGTAATTCTTGGACTAATACTATTGCTCAAAGCTACACGCATATTCACCACTTGCTTTCAATCGTTTCACCACTTCCAATCGTCTTTCGGTCTTGTTTTTAATCACAAGCAAAGCGGGAAACCCATGTTCGCACAAATAAGCTGTGGAAAAAAGCATTAGAGCAAGGCGGGGATGTTTCCGCGGTCCACGTATTGATTCTCACGGACCACGGTTAGGAACCACTGTTCTAAAGAGAACGCTGGATGCAAATTAGCAAAAGTCTCCCGCTGACAACTCTCCGAGTACAAAAAGAGTGACAGGAATTAAGAGCAGAATAAAAACTTCCCAGTGACTGCTTAGTATTCCATGCATTTCACAAATAAAGACACTGACCAAATAATTTGGAACACACAACTAAATAATTTAACAGCTGCTCTCAGTACATAATATTTTACTTCAAAGTATTTAGTAAAATAACAATTATGTAGAAAAAGAAAAGCATTGCGACCTAGAATAAGCAATTCAAAACAATACAGAAATGCTTACTTTTTTCAGCTTACTTCAAGCATTTAAACGGTAATTTACATATTGTTTTCAAAATTAACTACAATGGGTGGTAAGGTCTGATGATATCATTCAGCAAATTAGCAATGTTATATACAAAAAGAAGGACTTCCACGAAAAATTGTTTTGGTACAAAAGGCTATAGTCGCAGCCTTTTAGCAAAAGGAACAAAAAGTATATTTACGTTGAAAAGAACCGAACACTGATGAATATGAAACCCTGAGGGTAAACGAAAATTTATGAAAGAAATGATTAAAATAATGATGACTGAGATCTCACAAGCTACAAAGCAATGAAAACAGTGTAAACGAAGACTGCTTTGAGTAAATATCAGAAAACGAAGGAAACATAACGGCACCGGTCCAAAAAAGTTATAACATAGATGAAGTTGTAACCATCAAACCTTTAATGTACAATGAAAACTACCAAATGGCACGAGAAAGGCACTTCCAGGGATTTAATGATCATGTCTGAATAATTTAAAGTGTCAGCGTGAAAGTCAAAAGAAATTGGATGTTATGTTTTCTAAAAGGAACTTAAGACAGTATGAGGGAAGTATGATTTATTCCAAGTTTCATGCAAATGTTTTGAACAAATTTGTCTAATTAATACTAATAAATCACATTCGTAGGGACAGATCCATTATCATCATACTGGTTCAAACGTCTATAACGAAGAGGTGCTCGTCGTGTATTGTTTGGAGGTCTATGCCCTTCAATAATGAAGCCTGAAAATACTACTAATAGGCAAGCACCAAACGAAATATCTTTTAGCGACTAATGCTTTGTGAACTGTTCCAAAGAAAAACAAACTTTCCTAATGAACAAAAAATTTACCAAGAATCTTCTTTTTGTTATGCGAGGCAACGTATATACAAAGAATAATGGCACCAAATACAACGATGTAATAAAGGAAATGAGTGTTTTCAGCTTTGTCAAACTCATCGAGCCTGGCGAGTGTCTAAATTGTAACAAAAACATTCGAACGGAGAGCATGTATCGAAAATACCATATCACGATATAAAACACAATTGAACAGAAACAAAGCTTCTGTCAATATTTAACTTAATTTGGGACCTCATTAATGCTGAAATCTGATATAATTCAAACTACCGTCTTTATTCCAATCGTGTTTACGATGCTTTTTGGAAAAACACTGAGGTTTTCTTTTTTATTGAAATCCTCATTGTCTTGGTCATTATTCCTCTACAACATTTAGAATATTATAACTATTACCATTCCTTGTTCCTCAACAATTGCGACAATGGGAATATTAATTTTAAAAAGAAAAAGTATTAACCTGAAGTGGTGACGAACGAGCAGCAAACTCATTGGAAGTCTGAAAGCCACGACGTTCCTGTTTTAACTGCTGTTGAGCAGTTGAAGCAAGAACAACTTGCCGCGCTGATGTTTGTAGAGGTACCACTTTTGTTACCCGTGCTATTGCTGTTAATGATGCGGCATGTTGTAATCGCGCTCGTGGTGTTACCGCGGCCATAATATTCGTATTCTAAACAAAAGGAAATCAGCTTAATGCTATAATATTGAAGAATGAATCTGCTAATCAAGCTAAAAATAAAATTAACACCGTATCTGACTGAAATAATGTATGTGAAGAACAATTTTCACATTTTCTGTAGCAGTTGTAATCCCTTTCACAACCAGTTCAGCCATTTGGTCCTTTTTAATTTGATCAAGTAATTCGGTACCTACAAAAATAATATGCGCATGTATATGGTACAGAGAAACGAAGAAGCACGTAAAAACTATTATATGGATCCCAAACTTTAATCAGAGAAATGATTTGTCTCACCATTAATTTCTTGTAAACTACCGTCGCCATTTGTAAACAACCAGTCACACAGAAAACAGAACATCAACAATAAAAACCACTGGAGTCCCATGGTAAAACTCCTTCAGTTTACTTGTTTGATAAACTTTGCAAAATCAATCTTCTGTTGTTAGAGGATTGATCTTTCTTTCGTACATGTTCACAAATCTGCAATATATACAAAAGTATCTGGTTTACAGCACAGTATTATAACATAACAATCCAGAAAATTAAAGCCATAACTTTTGAAACTTACAGTACAGTTGTAACCTATCACGGCCGAAGAGAAGATCAACTACAATAAGGCGAAAACAGGATAGTATCTCCAGACTATTTTAAACTTTCAGAAAGATTATTATAAAAACAAAAGTGGTTGGATGAACTAGTAGAATTCAATTCAATATGAAGGACTACCACCAAGCAGAAGTACAAGCAACGACTAAATTTAAGTTATATTTAATAAATATTGCTTAAATTCAGTCTCTGCTTCTATTAATTACCATACTGTTCCATTGCTTCACTCCATTCCTAGCAATCTTTACCATCTCATCACTACCAACGTCTTATTTTCATTTTCAACCATCGCCCATAATATTTCATGGCTTCCTGTGGCAAAAACCCTTGAAAAAATGTCAGTAAGGTCAGTCTTCTCCAAGTTAGTTACGTCCGAATTAAAATATTCGCCAGTCCCCATTACTCCAACCGTCGCCATAGTTTGATATCTTTAATATGACTGCTTGTTTCATTCCTGTTGCATGCAAAAGTGCTGTTATTAATTGATCCGGGTCTTAAGTGTTCAGCCCATTTGTGCAGGGTGATATTACTTGTGAGACGATGTTTGTGTGTTCTAGTAATTGTCCTATTGTTGTGTTGTTTTCCACTTCAAGAGTTGGTGGTATTGTATACCTTTAAGACTTTTTTAAACCCCTTGGTTTTTTTTAGGTATCCTGACCTCGTGGCTTCGAAATTGTAAAATTTACAGAACCGTCATGATTTCACGTCAGTGGCACACACTTTCTGTAAGTTTCCTTCTTCATTCAGTAAGAAATGACACAAGTTACAGAAAATCTACTTGCGCAACATGTTATTTTGCTCCATAACACGTTTCAATTAATGTAAAATCAAAGGAAGAAGTCAGGGTGACTTTTACCTAGCAAATTTATCGTCCATTCTAATGTCCGGCTTTGAACTAGAACTGATTGGAAACCAAAATATCTATCAACAAAATATCCTGGAATGTCCTGGAACCAAAATGTCCATCAACCTTTTTTTCGGGAACAATAGAATGTTTGTTCCGTAATGATAGGAAATCTCATAACCATTTTGAGATTTGAATTCAAATTCACATCATGATTCCAGAAACGACTTGCGTCTACTAGTATGCCTGCTCGAAACGCTACCAATTTCACAGAAGAGAAGGTACATTTATTTTCAGTGCAATAATTTTAATAACTGGGTTGGTAGGTATTAATGTACTTATTTAAGATATCGCGCTTGCCAAATGGATTAACAGTTGCTTCTGTGGATCTTGGCGGTCCAATCGCGCAACTAGTAGTGGCTTATCGAGCAGGAACTCGATATGAAATGCCTGATGAAGCAGGTTTGGTTCATCATATTAGGAATTGCATCGGAGGTGATTCTCCAAGATATTATGGTGCTCAGTTGCTTTGGCAATGTGGTTCCGCGGGTGCTACTGTGGTGAGTTTGAGAAATATCAAAGAATTTTTGTCAGTCATACCCATCTGCAGCGATCTTTAGATGAGGAAACGACATTATTTTTAGTGAAGTCTGCAAATAATCTATTTTATAGGGCTTACAAGAAATTTTTAGAAATCTAAAAGTTATTTCAGAAATCTGTGACACTAGAGAATTTCAGAATGGAATAATGACACGCGACTTGCTTGCAGTGCAAATGTCGGTGATTAGAGATCGTGCGCCTTTAGGATTATCTTTATTAGGAGAATTGGCTCAACCAGCATTTAAACCATGGGATGTTGTGGACTTTAAAGAAACACTGAGGGTCGATCGCAATTATCTTAAAGCGTACGATAAGCTTATGGAGGATTTACATGACGTAATATTTCGATTTATCAATTTTCTTGGTGTTGTGTTTTTCCCTAAAAAGTTGGTTGGAAAAATATTTAGTGTTTTGCGTATTTTAGTCAGCCGTACTAAAATGTCAGTGATATTTTCTAATCTTCAGGCGGCTTTTCGAAATGGTTCTCTGGGAAATTATTTATATGATATTTTCTAATCTTCAGGCGGCTTTTCGAAATGGTTCTCTTGGAAATTATTTATACGCGAATGAGGAAACTGTTGGCAAATTCAGTCATCGCGAAATGGAAAAATTTGCAGTACGTTTTCGCATACTTAACAGATCGCTTTCTTGCATTTGTTTGGTTATTTTCTGTATTTTTCGAAAATTCCCTGGAGTAAGGGTTTTTTTTTTTCGCAATAATTTTTTCCAGGCTTCGCAAATGGTGACCGGGAATGCTGTGCTTGTAGGAGTGAACATTCCACATGACCAAATATTAGATTATGCGAGCAGTCAATTCACGTTGTCTGAAGGGAGTTCAATTTCACCAAAACCGTCTCCATATTATGGCGGAGAAAAACGCCATAAAAGTTTAATGAATGAAGCTCATGTTGCCATTGCTGGCAAAGGAGCTTCTTTGAAAAGTCGGAAGGTAATTATTTAAGGGAAATCACGTGCGACGACGTGACTTTTTTCATTTTATTCAAGAATAGCCCGAAGTCTAATAAGATTTCTGATGCAAAAGTATTGTTTACCATAATATATACACGAAACATAATCGAAGTGCGTAATGTGTCTTCATGTATTCGCATTCTGTACTTTGGAATTCCGGAATCAAATGCGATAGATCAATTCACAAATTTCAGAGTTTAGCCGTGCAAGCAGTTTTGAGTGCTGCCATTGGTCAAGGTGCTGCAGTAAAGTATGCTGCGGGTGTTGGACAAGGAGCAGTAACAAAAGCAGTTTTTGTAGGTTATTATAGATGTGCGCTATTTGTGAATTTGTTTTTATATGTTCGTTTGTGCTTTCAATGAGTTCAGTGAAGAATACTATGGATTTGGTGACCAGTGTTATCACTGTTGAAGAGATACTGAACCAATGATTTCTTCAGAGAGCCTCATGTGGTTATCCGTTCGGCATCTCTGCCATATCGGAAGTGTATGCAGATGAAGGGCTTGCCGGTATTTATATTGTCTCCAAAGCAGATCACATCGGCCCTCTTTGTGATGCAGCAATAAAAGCCTTAAAATCATTCACAATCGACGATTCTGCATTCCAAACAGCGAAGTTTCTGTTTACCCCTACCCAATTTATAGCTATATTTTCATGATGGAGTTTCTTTTATAGGAGAGATATTTCTGTTGTTCTATAGTTGTTTACTAATTCAGAAATATGGCTACGATGAACATTCTAAACCGAGCCGAATCAGCTGAAAATGTGGCACTGGATCGCGCTGCGCAGATTCTTGCAACTGGTGAAGCAGAGACTGTTTCTGATTTATTGCGAGAGGTAGCGTCCATCACCATGGCCGACATTGCAAAGGTTGGCATAGAGGAGAATTCTTATCCATGCATTGCTTGACAAAAGCTGGAAATTTACTCTAGGCTTCGAAATTTCTTGTGTTTTTCACAAGTGGTTTGTCATGCTTATTTCATATAAACGTGATTTTGTCGTTTGTTATTTGTAAATTTTATCAGACAAATACATAAGTTATCTTAACTGCAGGCAGCAGACCAAATGAAATCGAAATTAACGCTTGCTTCTTATGGAAATATTTACCAGGTGCCCTACCTCGATCAGTTGTAAAATGCGGTATAAAGTTGGTGAAGTATTCACCGCATTGAGCAAAATCGATGTGTGAAAAAGAGCAGAATTTGTATTGTAAACTTAGTCTTCTTCGATTCAGTTCATTTGATTAGTGATATTAATTTTTGAAATATTGTATGGAACCGAAATGTTGCTTTCAACCAACTAATTTTCTTGAATTTCATTCTGTTTTTTTTTCTTTTTTGGTGTATTATCTCACACTATTCAGCTAGGTCATTTCGGGCGCTCACTGCAATGCGTTTGAATTAATTCTGTTAGATTCATTTCATCATTTCCAGATCTTCTGTTTTTAACTCTGATATTTCCTCTGAGTTTTCCAGTCTTAAGTCATAAGCTGTTTTAGTTTTTTTTCTTGTACATTGAAGACGTAAGCAATTATAAATAGTGTTTTCTTGCTTATCTTTTTGATTTTAGTGCTTTTCTATGCCTCAATACTCGGGGCATACAGCAAAATCAATGATTTAGTATTTTTTTCTGGATGATGGATAGATGAATTTAGTGTGATTTTATAGGTATCAAGTGCTGCTTTAGAGTACCAGTGCATTATAGATTAATGGTATATATTGACGATCTAATTTTGTGAGTACTGTTTAACCAGAGTATTTAAGTAAAGTGATAAACGCTCTAGACATTTATGACTGATTGTCGGATTTCTGTCTTCTCTCCACAGTGCCTTTCGTAAGGTCCTCGGGAATGGGAGATGTGCAGGATAATGAGTAATCACGAGATTTACAATAGGAGGTGGCTACCAATTGTATCTGAAATAAAATAATGGACGTGTTGTGATGATGAAAGAGGACAATGGAAAAGGGAACGATAGTTTGATAAAACCGGGATATGCGAGAGTTGAGATACTCGTGTTTGTTTTTGCACAATTTCCCTGTCGAAAAGTTAGTGTTGAACTGATTGATAACAAAGAGATTTCGTTTCCAATGAACTGCATAAAAAACATGATAGATCAGCTTTATAATTGAATGTTGGGCTTGGAAAATCGAGGTAGAAGCAGGGAAGTTAACTAATTCATCTAAATGGTTCCAAATGGAAGAACTGCACACATCGTAATTCCAAAAGCGGATTGTCTGATGTATGGTACATGAGATTGAAATTATCACGGATTATCTGTTGCGCAAATGTTCAATTGCAGACAGTTGCAAACATTAACAGCGAAAGAGAAATACTGCAGCACAGTGATAGTGATGGACACTCTCAGCCTCAGGATTTTTATCCTCTTATTAATTAACACTGATGGTCTACAGCGGGTACAAGGAAAAAGTTATTTGGTAGGCAATATATATTTTTGATAATAATTGGAATGACATCGAATTTTCTTGGGAGAAAAAAGTTTGGACTCTAACTTTTAAGTTCAATGTATTGGGGAATAGAGTATATTTCCTCACGTACTATTATTTAGTGTCTAGAGAGATGTTTTCTTTGCAATTCTTACTGGCAACATTTAAAGTTTTAAATTTCCGTTAACACCATTACATTTGATAGCTAACCAAGTGATTAAGGTATTAATTCTTATAATTTAGCAAGCAAATAGATTAAACATTCCAGCCAACTTGGGACTCAATTGATTCAAGACCGATACCTCATTGGTATCGAAATGCTAAACTTGGTGTATTTTGTCATTGGGGAGTTTATTCAGTGCCAGCAATTCAGTAAGTCCTTATATGCCAATCTCTTAATTAATGTACAAGAAGTAGTTCATTTTTCTTTCTTTCGGAGAAATTCTGAAACTGTATTGCTCTTCATTCACGACGTGAAAGATGCTTTCAGTTCGGAATGGATGTGGTATGCATGGAAAGTATCAAATAGCTCAGATATTATCCAATTTGTGAACAAATATTACAAACCGGGTGTCACTTATGCCGATTTTGCTCAAGATGTACGTCCAATTCGAGTGTCCTAATGCAACTCTCACTAATGAGTAAAATTGTTCACGAACACCTCATGAATTTCCGTTTGAGGAGTACTGGAAGTATACATTTATGAAATTGTTTCTGATTATTTTCTCTTTTCTGTAGTATCGGAGGGTTCAGAAATTTTGCCAAAGCTACGCAATTAAGAATTTCAGTTCACAGCGGAACACTTCAATGCTTCCGTGTTTCGGAATATCGTGGAAGCGTCCGGAGCAAGGTAAATTTTCTTACGCTTTATGTTAACACGAGTTTTATCAGTCACACATGCTAAAATTGTAATATAGTTCCACGGATTGTGCAAGAAACGATTAGTTTGAAGATATTTTGTGTTCACAAGCAAACATCACGAAGGTTTTACGATGTGGCCAAGCGCAACTTCCTGGAACTGGAACTCAGTTGATGTTGGCCCACACCGAGATATCGTTGGTATGATGCCTGCTTATTTAATTTCTTACAAAGATTTCGGCTTAGATCATTTCCTGATCAAAGTTACAACGATTCATGTTTCATGCATGTTTCTCCTATTGGCTAGAATATGCAGAAATATATTACTATATTTAATTAGCACCTTTTTCATTTCTTTGGTTACGATTGTTTTTAATAGTTAAATGTGGCAAAATGTCTTTTTTGCTTTCTACGTTTACCGACAGGTGAATTAAAGAATGCATTTTTGGAATCCAAAGTTTATTTCGGTCTTTATTTCTCTCAGTATGAGTGGTTTAATCGCTATTACATTAATGATCGCAAATACAGCACTGATGACTATGTGAAGGCTAGTGCTTTTCATTTTACTCTTATTATAATATTTGAAATCATTGAAAAGTTTTTGCTAATCAGTTGACTGAAAAACACAATTGCAGTATGTGTCGTATCCGCAGATGTTGGAAATAGTGAGGAAGTATGAACCTCAAATAATCTGGAGTGATGGAGATTGGGAAATGAGTGATGATTACTGGAAATCAAAAGAATTCCTTGCATGGCTTTATAATTCAAGGTTAACGATTCAATGTTGGATACAAGTGTTTTTCATTAGAAACTTGTGGCAATTATACGTTTTCTTTTTTTTCTTTTTTTTCGCTTGACCAATAAAATGGAATTTCGAATATCACTTGTGGACTCAAAATGACTTTTACGTCCTCCACTGTGGTTATCAACTGGAGTTTAAGGTTTTCATATTTTCAGTCCAGTGAGGGATACAGTGGTTGTAAATGATCGATGGGGAGAGGGTATCTCCGGTAAACATGGAGGTTTCTTAACGTATTCAGATCATTTCGATCCAGGTATCTTCTTTTCAAAGTTGCTAGAGTAATGGAGTGCAGAAAATTTTCACGAAAGCTTATGAGTTGTTCTCAGAGACTTATATTCATGAATCTAATTATAAATTTAAAGACAGTAGCACTTCTTGAAAGAGCTGGACTTGTAGGTTATTTGTTAAGACGCAAGTGGGAAAATTGTCTTACACTTGATAAAGAGTCATGGGGATATCGCCGAAACATGAGAGTAAGTTATTTTTTACCAGAATTTAGTTGAGTGATCCATTACACTAATTATTTGTTGGAACTTTATTCAGCAAGTGAAGAAAATTAGTGCTGCGCAGGTTTCTTGAAGGAAGGTTAGTCAAAAATATATAATTCATTCAAAAAAATGTAAAGGAAAATGGGAGGGATAAGAGAGACAAAAATTCTTGAAAGTGTGCCTTCGAACTTTGGGAATAACGGTGGTAAAACTCTGTTGAAGAAACTGGAAAAAACTTTCAAAGTTTAAGAAATTTAGAGTGAAGACATAAACGCGGTGTTATACCTCATTAGTCAGCTAGTAAGGACTATTGCTTGCAATGGAAACTTGCTGTTGAATGTTGGTCCGGATAAATCCGGGATGATTGCGCCAATTTTTGAAGATCGACTACGTGAACTTGGTAAATGGGTAAGGCGTAATCGGGAAGCCATTTTTGATACTTACCCATGGATGTATCAAAATGATTCTCTCTACATCTGGTAAGCATTTTCACGGCAGTTCTATGAAATTGTTATATTCATGTTCATTGGCTGATCATTGATTTCTAATTAAAGGTACACAGTAAGTTCACCAAGTGAATATGAAGTGAGGCATGATATGGCTTGGATACCGCATACGGAACATTCTAAACTTTACGCATTTTTTCTCCAATTCCCGATCACTGATACCGTTACACTGTCTTCTGTGCTGTACACGCCAATGGTTAGCTGCATTGCTCTCTGGGCAATAACTTGTCCCATATTTTCCCGAAAATGTTCTGATCCCTTTAATAGTTTTCTGGAAATTTAATTGATCGAGTAGTTAGTTTACAACAAGATGAATATTCCAGTTAACAGCAGAAGTGCTTCTCGACTTTAGTAAGACTGAATTCCTTGAAGTGTACGGCATTCCCGGGCAGTCGGTAACACTAAGCTTCAAGAAACATCAAAGACTTATTGCGTTTAGCCCAGTCGTTGTTCGGATCAAACACTTTAATGCTACTTATGTAAGTTTGAACATATGGCATGTTATGGTATGGGATGGTGTGCTGATGAATTTGTTTGGGGTCCATTAAAATGTGGATATGGGGAAATGCAGTTGTCACATCATATATTTTGTTTCAAAAGCCGAAATCTTTACTCCTTTCCTTATCACGGACGACGAAATTCTATATAATTTAAATTTACAGCGTGACCCACTCGAGGACCGAAAACGAAAAGAAGTTCAACATAGAGCCAGAAATCGTACCAACTGATTCGAGGAAAACAGGGATGATTCCATTTCCAAACGTTTTGGTTACCAATTTAAAGTTGCAATTTGTAAATTTTTTTTTTATTTTACTGTTTACAGTATAAGCAAATGGAAGAACATTGGTTCGCAAAATTCTGAATACACGCAGAAAATAAGCTAATATATATAGGTTTAGGAAAATAAACTGGCGAATTACGAAGTGCAGAATATACTCACAATGTTGGATGCATTGAGTTTTATATAAATTCAACATTTACTTCAACTTTTCAAATCCAATTACTTCTTCAAGAAGTAGATGTACTTGATTGAGAAGATAAGGTAACTTCCGTTGTCCATTCCGGCATTTTTATCTTCCCATACTGTAATGAGCATTAGCAAATCAAATATATATATCATTGAACAAGAAAATGATAGCACAGTTCCATTATTAAATTTTTTCAAAGCAGGTAAATTAAGTAAGTGACGGTTTTCGAGTGAGTAATTGATAACCTGTATGTCGACTATTGTTTGGTAAAGTTTCTGCATAAGGTTAGGCTTGTGAGTTGTCGTTGGTATTGCCATTTCCTCGAAATCTTCCGTAGACGGATTTTTATATAAAATTCGATCCACTGGGCAAACAACGCATGCTGTGCCGGTGCCAAACATTTCGTACATCTGCAATGTTATTTTCTTTTTCCTCATTTTTATTTTCTAATAATTTGAAATTTTGAAGTCAAAAAATTTGTCATATGTCAAAGTGCACTGCGAAGCAATTATGAGTTACGAAAGCAAATTGTACTTCAAAAAATTTAATTCTGAAACCTCTCAACCAATTTTTTGTTTAGTTGAACGATACTCTGTGCATAAGTAGGGTTAAAAATGTGGGTTTAGCTTTTCTTTTTTTTTCCTTTTTTTTTTGTAAAAGAAACCGAGCCTACTCTTCTTTCCTTGATGGCTCGTCGTATTTCTTCTATTCGAACATAGCGTTCAGTAACTCTGATATCATGCATCTGTCTTCCCAAATGCAAAACACTATCTCTGGTAACACCTGGTAATATTATCCCGTCGTACAATGGCGCTGTTACTAATTCGTTATCTAAAGATTTTTGATTTTAAATGGCAGGAAATGAACAGCTAGCAAGAGAGAGTTCCGAATTCCATCATATTACATAAATTTATGTTTTTAAATTCATTCAGAAATAATACAATAATAACCTCCTTGTTCATTCTTCCAGTACATGAAGATATTCATTGCTCCTACTTCTGTAATCCATTGTTCTTCACCATACAACCACAGTACCTGTTGGCAATTTTTCGAAGCTGCTGTTTTACTGACTAATATCGTTGGCGCATAATTGCTGAAACAATTAGGAGGAAAATGTTCTTTTAAGGCAAAAACTGTCAAAATTTTTCATCAACAAAATGTCATTCAGCTCGTTTGTTGTGGTTTTCACAAGGATAAACAACAGCAATTAGACAACCACACTTATAGTCCTAAAATAAGAACCTTACCATCCCATTTTATACTGCCCAACACCACCAGGAAATGATCGGCAGTAGGCTGGATCAGCATATAATGAAATAGGTTTGAATCCGGTTGAGTAGTACTGTCCAACTGGACCAGTTAATACGAAAAGTAAAGCTTGTTCTGCATGTGATATTCCAAGAGTTGGCTTAAAAATATTCAATTAAATTAGTAGTGGTCATTTTTTGATTACTGCTTCACCTATTATTATCAATAATGAAGCCCAAAAACTGAAACCTCAGTAGCGATAATCGTTGGACGAATGTAGAGTGAGCCAGGTGATTTAGGTACCCAGTTTGCATCGATGTTTACTAATTCACAAATAAGTTTTGTCAATTCATTTTTATTGAATGTCTGAAAATATCTCCAGCCCACCTTTACTTCTTAGAGAAAAAGGTTTAAAAAATAGAAATTTGAGTTTTCCTTTTATTCGATCATGTAATCCAGTTCTAATTGAATTTGAAATCTTTCCTTTTCTCCCATGTAAAAATAATCTCATATTTTAATTTACTTGAAGCTTTTCACTTGAATGGATTAAAATCTCGTGATTTCCTTTGGGTATATCATCTCACACAACATCCCGATTTAAAATAAAATAATGGAGTTTTTTGGCAAATTAATTTTCCAAGGCTGAACTATTTACAAGGATGCTTTCTGCAAGCACGTTATCTGTTTAGGTGTAGGTTTCTCTTAATTAAATTTCCTCAGTGACATCGCTATTTCTCAGAAAGAGCATGCTTGACTTTTATCTCAAGAATCTACAATTTCTAATGAAAGAATTTCGTGTTGTTCTTGAACTTAGCTGTAAGGGAAGCTTTTTCTGAGCTATTGTGATTGAAAAAAAAATGGAAATAAGAGACCGGCAAAGCAGCTCGAATTGCAGAATGATACATACGCTCCATGTTTTTTTCCGGACGGAACAAAATAATTTTATCATCTTCGCATCTATATGCTTTCATACCTTCGAACAATTCAACCGCATAGTGAAAAACCTAAAAAAACATTTGAAGTCATCGCCTCTTCACCACTATTTTTCTTTGAACCTCAAATTTTCACTTCATTCGTTTCTGAGTTACTGCTTTCATACTGAAAAGCATTAGTTCAGAAACGGACTTCACATTGCAAAATTCATATATTTAGCATTAACCTTTGCAGCGGGATGCACTATTAAGTCATGAAGCGGACATATTAGAGGTCGAGACCAACCTTTCTTTGCTGACCATTCTATCTATAATTGTTATTTAACAGCATTCAAATAATTTAATTTGTCGCAAACTTCCAAACTGATGTAGTTTTGCTGCATCATTGGAAATGAGATTTAAAAATTTTCGTAATAAAATTAGCGCTGAAAACTAACCTCAAGCATGTGATCTGAAAATTGGTGGCCAAATAACAGCTCGCTTCCCGGTTCTGGCTTCTTACGCATTTGCTCTCGTTTTGATTTTATGATTTCCAAGTCACTATGCTAAAACCATTTCACTGTTTGCATTCGCTAATAAGAGAATGTTTTTTATTTGTAAACTTAAACTACAAGTTTTTTTAATTAATAAGTGAAATGAAGCATACCTTAAAAGAGGATGCAGCACGTGCAATGGTTATTGCATGGAAGCAGCATCCGACTAGTTTCGAAGGTAGCAACAATGGTCTGCCACATCGAATTAATCTGTTTGGTACATCCGGCAATATTAGTTCTGTGAAATACTTCATGACTAACCAACTTTCTAAAATTTTCACATTAATTTTTCTCAAAAATTACTTTAAATGCAAGATGGCGAGTACGAAAAAAGTGGAAGGAGGAGATTACTAATTTACTTTAACTCTTGGAGCTGGTGAAGCCCATTGATTTGGAAAATTCAAACATATAGTCTGGTCAGTAAAACTTAGTAGTGTTACAATTTGAGAGTATGCATAGATCAGTATAATATAAATTCACATATGAAGAGAAAAAGAAAAACATTACTTGAAAAATAACGTTGACTTCAGTGTTTACAAAGCAATCATTTATTTTCCTTCGAGTTTCAGATTTTTTAAATGACATTTGAAAAAACTCGTAGTAATTATACAATTGAGCTCAAATATCAATTAACTATGAATAAATTCTCGAGCAGAAAATCGCGTTGTTTTTTCCACAACATAGACGTCAAAATTTTTTTATTTGAAGAGAAGAGACACATTTTTGTCTGGTAATGTTACACAGGATGGCGCTCATGGTGCCTAAAATGATAGCATTGAGAACATATCAGATCCTGTACAATTCTTAGTCCTGTAAATTATATTGTCAAAAGTTTTGCTGAACAAACGTAGATCTGAATCTATAATAGATTATACCATCTACAAAGAAGTTTGTAGAACGTCACTTTTTTTTCGAGCTTCAATTTTCATATTTTTCGAGCTACACAGAAATTTTTGAGTGATGTTATGAATAATATTCAAGATGCATCATGTGAGTATACCTATTCCAGATTCAACTTGAGTAATTCTCCTTTTACAGAAAATTGTAGGACCATTTAGATCTTTTCTCCCTTTCACCAGTTCTCCCCTCACCAATTTTATCCCTTACTAGTTCCAGATGTTATATCAAAAGCTCATTGTTTTTCTGATTTCTGTGAGTACCAAAATATAAGCTTAACAAAAATTATTAAAATATTTTAGGAAATTCAAACACTGCATGTTCTATATCAATACAAAAACTTTTATCAACACAAGAGCATGCATATCAAATTTTATCAAGCTGGTTAATCTATAAATCATTTGTTCTCTAACTTCTTTTTTTGTAATTTAAGTTGACCGACAGAATCTTTATTGTCGGCAGGCGAACTATATTAGTTTCACATTTCATGGAATTGAATAGTCAAATTTTGTGATTCGTTGTTATCCTTTGTCAACGAATCTCAGTATCACCAGTGCATTAAATATAGACACTATCAGTCAGTTCATATAATTTACTTTTGCGCACGTCATATATTTACAGTAATAAATCAAAAAAAAAAAACTAAAGAAAAGCTGAAAATCGCCCAAATAACGAAATTATCCAATAAAAAAAATAATTATTGATAACGATCGGTTATTTACGAAAGTTACATTACTCTGTAAAAACAAATTGTGATTCATCCCAACGACCAAAGAATATCCAATAATACCACGGTATTTGTGATTTTATCCACACTGAAAACTAGATTTTCTTAAAAGAAAGGACCGATGCAATCTTCCTACTGTAGAGTGATAAGGAAACAGAATAACAGAAGTTAGCCAAGTAAACAATGCACAGATCGATAATAAAAGGAAAATATAGTTAGCGGGCATCCAATAACTTTAGACTGTTGGAATTAAGTCTCATAAATGTTGAAATGAGCAGAGTGCAATATGAATAACAGTGAACTTTGTTGTAAAAATCAGTTATCTGACACAACTTCAAACTGCCCTCAAAACAAGTACCAATTTTTGACTGTGAATTCTACAGAAATTTCAGTGAGAGAAGTAATCTGGAAAAACAGGTGCCGCAAATTCTTTTAGAAGTGACAATGATAGCTGACGTCTTACAAAGGAGTGATGAAATCCATAGAGCAATAGCGGTCAAGATGAGAAAGATGGAAAAGTCAACAAAACGAAATGGGAGTGAGACGAAAGCAATGACAAATTTAAAGAGAGAGTCGCTGGTAAGTGACACTGTTGACTAAGACGAATTTAGATTTAAGTATCATTCTGATAACCTTGTCAAAAGTAACCAGAGCCGTGCTATGGCTGACTGCCCTATTTTGTTAAGCAGCCTTTACTATCGTATCCTTCGAATATCGACTGTATCGAGTACGTCAATTTGAACAATGTTCGCTTGGTAGAAGCAATATGTCCTAGAACACAGTTCTCGAAAGTGATTATTCATCTCAGCATAGAAATACTATAAATAATAAAATCATTTTTCTGAAGTGATTCATGAGGTCGTCAAACAAGTATGTCTACGTCACAACAGAATATGGCATGATACTCATGATGCAGATCCATATCTTTAATAAACTTTTTGATGGCCATTAATAAACAGCCTTATGCTTTCAGAATTAATATCTGTTAAATGGCAATGGTCTTGCTAATAAGTTTTTATTTTATTCCTTATTTTTCTATCAACAACAGAAGACGAAATGCATTGCTGTTAGAACTTCCAATTCGTCTACGATGTTCAAATTTTGACAAAGAAAAACTGCATCTATAACAAAACGCTGTTTACGGATTTAATCAATTACTTTCGAAGATCTACGTCAGATTACTGATTACAATGCAAAACATCTCTTTTTTTGAAACACATGGGTGTTCCAATATACTGTTGCATGCCACACTTTGGTTACATGATGGCATTTTCCAGTTTGTCAAGAAGTAACAACCTCCTCTTGAACACTTAATTTAAAAAATTAATGTATTGAACCGTGTGAGTAATAATCAAGTTATAAAATAAATTTTTAAATTAGATAATTTTCAAGTAAGGTTTTGATAGGCACTGGTAAATCAGTCCTTTATCCTCGAGAAACTTGTAGATCTTGATCAAAAATCTTCCTTTTTTCTTTTTAAATAAAGCATTATTATTTCTGTTCGTACTTCAAAAAAATATACTAGGGAAACTAGCTGCTACAACAGAAAACTGTTTTATGAGTTTGGTCATCACGAATTACAACAGAACTCAAAAAGCAGATAAATTTCAAGCAACATAATCCCAGTTATTATGGTAGACGAAGTTATTTTATAGAAAACACTTATTGTGGCATGAAATACGACGTGAAATTGCAAACAGAGCAAACTAAACAATCCGAATAATTTACAAAGTGTAACCTACAACAATCCAAATGATTTACTATTTCCAATATACTTACCCAAGATGGAACCAAAGAAATGCAGATATCGAAAGAACAGTTGGGATTAATTTAATTTCCACTCACCTTTCTCCAGAGTTCGACCTACGTAAACTTGATGGACCCCTACCTGGTATTGAAGGACATAACCGTACCTAGCTAATTAGAGATGGTACACTATGCTATGTTCTCCGGAATTCCTCGAAGTCATACTTTTCTCTCTCGATCTATTCATCATTGATAAAATCACAATCACTTTTTGCACCATCTCTAGTAGAGAGGCTTCGAAATCTTTTTTAACAATTCTTTCAAACTTGTTATACATGAATCTTTCATTCATGATTTTATGTGTAGCCTTGAAATTTCGAAGGTATATCAGTGTCCTGCTGCCGAACAAAACAATTTTATTTTAAGTAAACAGAACCAATAAACAGTAGCAAGAAATCATTTCACTCGTACGAGCATGGAAAACCGAATTATCTAAAAGATTAGCAACATGAACTTAACGTAGAACGACGGAAACGTCACCAGAAAAACAACACGAATATAAGACTTTCAAAGTAACGAAATCATCACGAAAAGTCCTACTAAACAGATTCAGCATAAGGAATTTCAAAGAAAAACACGAACGCAACATGTATTAATTAAAAAAGAACATAACGAATACTGATGCAAAATGCCATATAGGGGGAGCTCACTTTCAAGTAACACAGATATCTGCATAAGTTATGAATACTGGAAGCTCAGACTATATTCCTGAAATCAGCATTACGAAGCATCTGATTAAGCAGATCAGTAACAAAGATAACATCTGTGATATCCAATTACCGGTAATGACACTGACACAACCCAACTTACAAATCAATTATCAGTGATATCATAATTGTGAAAAGTATTTGCCTCTATCTTAAAAAATTGGGAGCAGTCTGAAATTAAAAAATAGCATGTTTTGGTGGGAAATAAAAAATATTTCTACAGAAGCATAAATGTTGATCGTTAATTTATGTCATCTAAACTTACGGCACTTCCTCAATTTTCACAATTTCTACGAATTCGACTACCTCAGCAATGACAAGGGAAATAATTTATAATGCATAATTCTGGCAACGATAAACATACGTACCTAGTACTTCAACATTTCAGTGCAGTTAGGTTCAGATATGATTTTGATACAACTAGTGATATTTACAAATGAGCAGTAATGTAACTTCTAAGAAGCAGTTTATTAAAGTTAATGATATAGGAGATCTTTTAGAGTTTAAAGTAAAATATAAAAAATAAAAATTGAAGCATATTAATACTAGGATTCGATTTGTAACATAAACGCTTGGACCAATTTTCAACAGTACTCCTTCCGAGAAAGTTGAAAACGTATGTTCATCACTTTTAGTCATCTCATACTTCAAATACTTCGAGAGTTCAGACGGATAACACTCCCATCTATATTATAACATCCTGTAAACGGTTAACATTACATACACCATGCCTACCAATAGTTTCCAAAAATACCAGGACTTCAGTATAACTTCTTGAAAAAAGTTTTAAAATTTGAATCCACGCAGGTGTTTTATATATCGTGCGAAATGGTCCATTTCTCTCCACATATATCGCCGAGAACAATAATCATCCAAATGATTAGCGGTGCTATCTCTATTAAATAACAGCTCATTCGTTTGAGTACTACTCGTCTCAGTCAGTTTCCCTTCATTCTCAGTCTGGGTTGCCATGGAACATCTAAAATAATGAAATATTCTCGCAAGAATAATTCAACTGCCGCAAAACACAAAAGAAAACTATAACAATGGAATAAGATCATGAAAGACTTCTTCAAATCATTTCAGGTGCGAAATCAATGTAAAACAAAATCTGGTTGAGATGGCATAGAAAAAGCTTACATCTCTGGTACTTCCGTTGTTGTCATACATTCTTTTATTTTACCCAATCCCAAAATCAATTCGTAATTGAACCTTGATTTGACCTTAGCGAGTTTCGCTCTCAAATCTTCAGAAGTTTCGTATTTTGCACCATTCTAAACGCTTTTAATTCACATCATAAAATATACAAACGGGCATTAGTAACTGAAAAATATTTATCGGATATTATAAACGCCTGATTCTAATTCTAACAGTGCGTTAATTCTATTTTCGAATATTGTAAAACAAGGACGAATAAAATAAAA